GGTGGGGGGGTGTGTGTGTGTGTGTCTAAGAGTCTAACAATAACCGGGGTTCAACTGCCTGGGGGGGCCATGGTATGGGTAGCCCACTTGCGGGGAAGAGAGTATGAGTATGGCGCAATCAATCGTTTAGCCGCATTCGCTGAAGATGCGGGCAGGGGTGAAATTAGGCCTCTTTGGGGTCTCAGTAATAATAATAATAATAGGAATANNAATAGTACTAGTCATAGTAATAGTAATAGGAAGTAATAGCAATAGTAATAATACTAATATTGCAAGTCCTTGGTTTTGACCTGACTCGGGATCCTGTGCTGAACTTCATCCCTCGAGCCCGAGCACGTGTAGAAAAAAGTCGTTCCAGCCTACCTAGGCCCTAAACCCTAAGCCCTAAACCCTAAGCCCTATAAACCCTAAGCCCTTATGTGCCAGACAAGCGTCGAGAGTAGGAAGCTCTACACTTTATGCGAACTCATCAACCAGCTGCGCGACAAAATGCACACACGCAAAGAATTCCCGAGAATGTGGTTTTTGTTGGCCCTAGGCCATAACAAGTCGGCAATTTTGAGAACAGGTTCAGGTTGCTGCAAGAACAGGGTGCGTTTAGCTGCGATCTTGCCCCCTCAAATGCAGATATTAGGTGGACCCTCACCCTGTAATAGCGACTATAAGGGAGAATGGTAACCTTGTCAGGTTCCTTTTGTATTCCTAATACACTATCACAGGGATGGGGGTCCACCTCATGCAGACACTCAATACCAAAGCCAACGAGGCCTAAACCCTAACCCCTAACGCCAAAGCCAAGGAGAGAGGGATCTCTTGCCAGACTGAGCAAACCAACTTCACTACTACAAGCTCAATGGGCAAGGTGGTAATTTCCCTTTAGGATTCAGGGTTTGGGATTTAGGGTTTAGGATTTAGAGTTTAAGGTTTAGGGTTTAGGGCGCTCCAATATAGACCCCAATATAGTATAATCCTGTATGTGGGGACCCCCAAAAAAGGTATCACTGACTTTGGGAAACCCCCAGGTGAATTCACTGACGCCTTCAGAGGAAGGAGAACCGGCACAAATCTTCCACGGCCGCTCTTCCCAGTATCTACGCTCTGGATTGATACTGGGTTGCCATTGAGGAACTTAAGTAAAGTCACTATAAAACGGAAGCCCTATTATTTACAGTATTCCCATAATCTGGTAACTTAGTTTAAGTTACTCGACAGCAACCCAGGATTGGGGTGAACAGTGAGGAGGCACTGGCTATACGTCATCGTCTGCGGGTTCGGTTGGGGGCCTTGTCCTCGAAGACTTTAGTGTCAGGAAAATCTCTGCTGGAGGCAGTCACGTCTCTAGGCTTGACCCGCTACACCGAGCAAGACATGATTCTGGGTGGCAGCTTTCGAAATTAATTTAAGTTGCTATATTGGGAAAGCATACTAGTTACAATGTCTACCCATTACGGTAACTTAATTTACGCTGCTTAAAAAGCAACCCAGGAATGACATGATCAACTTGCTGGCTGATTTCATTAACCTTTCCTTTGATAGTGAAACTTTGGCAGAGGACGCAGAAGCTAGGCATGCTGAAAGCTTGGATTTATTCTTCTTCCATCACAGAGATTCTCGATCCTATGGGCAGCCCGTTTGGGATTGGCCCGAGAAGACTGACTTGACGCTTGGTCCATCCTCAATGCGTAGGAGTGTGACCGGGCATATGCACAACTGGGCTGACACACAGCCGCGAAGCACTTTTAACGTTGTCCCAGCACAAGCCCTCATGGAGATGTTCCTCTCGCAAGAGTTGGAGGTTCACAAGCGCATTTTTGGGCCAAGGCTCATGAACCAGTTTAGAGCCATGAAGGAGATTCTCTTAGCTGGTGATACCAACAAGCTAGTCGCAGAATTGACTTTCGTACGGATCAATGACTTGGCGGCGCCGCCTGAGCCTGTCCATCCATTGATGTACATCGAGCCACTGGTGGCTATCTTGATTGTAGGGAATGGCATCATGATCGGGTTGCAAACAGAGCCTGGCTTTGAGGAATGGGACGGCTGGGTCTACGTAGAGCTAGTCTTTGCCGCCTTCTTGCTCTTGGAGATTGCTTTGCGGATGCATCTTCTGCGCTGTCGCAATTATTGGTGCGGTCCGGAGCGATGGTGGAACTGGTTTGATTTGTTCTTGGCAGCCACCGGGGTCTTTGACATCACTATCCAGTTGATTCGCGAGAAAAAGTCAGACTTTGCGGGCACATCGTTATTGCGATTCTGCCGCCTCATTCGCCTGGTTCGCATCGTCAAGGCGGCTGGAGTGGAATCTTAGACTTGTAGCATTGCAGTAGGACCAACCGCTTGAACAACTCAGCCTTCCTGCAAGCTCAAGCTGAATTTAGCATGTTCTGCCCGAAGGTGTTTCGCATCAAGTTCATGAAAGACCTGCGCCTCATGGTGAAGGGGCTGATCGCTGGGATTCGCACCCTGACTTTGGCCTTTCTTCTGCTCTTTGCAGTCCTTTACGTGATATCTGGCTTCGCCACTATGACAATAGGCAGTGACAGCCGCACTGCAGAGCTGGAGCTAGAGGAGTATTTTTACAACATCCCTTCCGCCATGCTCCTGGGTAGCTGTTAAGGATGTCAAGCTAAGTTACCATGAACATGGGCAAAAAGGAAAGGACAGGGTTTCCTTCTTATAGCAAACCCTACATACCCCTTATCATAATCCTAAACAATGGGGTTTCTTCATTATCGTATCTTTTAAAAGTTCCTAAATCCTAAACCCTAAACCCACCAGGAGGGAGGGAAAAACCCTGAAGCCTAAACCCAGGTTCACAGCCTTCCGTTGCTTCAACGGAGAATGCGTGAACCACGAGGGGCGACCTATAAATTATCTGCTAGCCGACAAGTTTGGACTGCCATTCATCGTGTGCTATGTTACTTGGTTGGGTTTAGGGTTTAGGGTTGCTGTTAAGGAATTTAAACTAAGTTGAAAATAATGTGGCTGTAGAGTAGAAGTAATCGGGTCCCCTTAGTATACTAATTTAACTTAAGTTCCTTAACAGCAACCCAGGTCATCAGCTACATGCTTGTAACAATGGGGATCTTCAACGTCATCCTGGCTGTATATGTAGACATCACTATGAAGGCAGCCAAAGAGAATGATGCTGTCACGGCAGAGCAGTATGCCCGGGAATCCATCCGGGTGGCGCGAACAACCCGCGAGCTCCTGAAGAAGTTCGCCGGAGCATACCAGATCTTTTCTGACGTAGAGGAGGGCAAGAACAAGCTAGAAAAATTGCCGTCTCACATGCTCTTTAACGAGGATGGGGTGCACGATAAGATTGCCATCACCAAGGAGCTCTTCCTTCTGGTCATTCAGGACCGCGGTGTGCAAAAGCTTATGGACGACTTGGAGTTACCGCCAGACAGGGCCAACTTGTTTGAAATCATTGATGCAGACGGTAGTGGTTCCTTGGCTTGTTGCTAGAAAGCACATCTTCCGTCTTTTCTGAAACCAATTAAAAGAAAACATGATTATCTTGAATTGCACCTCAACAATGTTCAAGGCACCCTACAAATCACTGAGCTCTTGCAGGGCTTGCTGAAAATTCGTGGCGAAATCAACAAGAGTGACACTGTGGCCTCTCTCTTGGCGACCAAAGCTTTGCAGGGCATGTTGACGGAGTTGAAGGATGAGAACCTACAGCAGTTCATGAATCTGCGAAACGACTTCGAGCAGCAATTCGCAGAATTTTCTCAATACATGGAGAAGGTTGTGTCCAAAGTCAAGTCCCGAAGCAGGTCTACGGCACCGCCGAAAGATTTAAACACCTTGGAAGCACCTCATCGCCCAGATGACCTGCTCCCAGAGACAGAGTTGGAGCCACCGTGATTCTTTCACGCAGCGCCACGCAACTCTGAATTGTCTCGAATGTTCTGAATTTTTAAGAATGTTTCACTTCTTGACCGCAAGAGAATTCATTGAAATGCATGTCATGTTTAATATCATTGTGTCAAATTGATCTTCAGGCTCTGCCAGCGCAGCGAAGCTGCTGCTCCCGAGCCAAGTTCCAGGCAAAACCCAGGCCACAAGTTGCGACAGCTCCCCAATGAACCTCCTTTTTATGTGAGCTAGAACCTGAACTCCTTGTATCCCCCTTAATATCCCTTGTAGTACTCCTCTATATAACCCCCTAGATATCCCCCCTTTAAGGAGTTAAAAGCATATAGTTCATGTGAGTAGCATCCCGGCAGCCTTGAAGCGGAGCCCGTTGGAGAGTGCCACGGTTCTTGCCGAACTTATCGTAAAATTCGATGGATAACGCCACTGGGCAACGTGTCTGGACTGAACCAACCAAGCCCGGCTTCAACCAAAAGATGGTTTCGGCAGGATGGTGTCCTCTCGGCCTCTGTTTTAACGTCCTTTCTGGACAGAATCCTTCCCCACCCTCTACCTCTCTTAACATTGGATATGTCTAGTATAGTATATTATACTACTAGAGGAGGGGATTAATCAGTGGCAGTGGACGCAAGCACGCCATGGGAAGTGTTTCTATAGCGCACAGGATGGAACTCAAGCCAAGATGGGTGACCTCCGTGAGAGCGCTGGGCAGCGTGAACTCTTCCAGGAGCTGCTTGTGGGGTTGGGTCGGTGAAGCCATGACATGGACGTTAGCATCCCCTGTGTTAGGCAAGTCAGTACGATGCCAACTTTTCCACATGCACACGGACCCGTGCCCCCTAAACTAGAGGCACCCTGTGCAGTCTCAGCTTCTGGCACAATGCTGCTGGACAGGAGTGGTCAAGCACGCGCCTGCAGCAGATCAAGGATGTGGTGACCTGGGAACTGGAAAGGCTTTCGCAGGACCTGCATGAGCAACCTGCCTTGTGCAGCAAGGGAGGGCGCTTGCTCAGCCTGACTGAGGCAATCCAGTGTGCACTTCCAGTAGGTCCCCTTTTCCACATTGTAGATGGACTTCAGGAGCCAAGGGGGCAAGTGGACTTTTTTTTCCTTTTTTTTTGTGAAGCCAGTAGGTTGACGGCGGACAGCGGCTTGTTCTAGTGTACAAAAGAGAAAGAGAGAGAGAGAGAGAGAGGAGCAGCGAGAAGAAGAAGAAGAAGGAGCGGGAACAGCTGCTAGGTTATGGATCCAATCCAACATTCGTGGGAATAACAGCTGGGTCCGATTCAAACATGAACGGGTGTGTATCCCGATCCTCTTGGGCTAGCCGACTGACAATGGACTTGCGCAGGCTGGGGGTTCGCCCCGGCAGCACCTTTGGGTGCTACATATCCTATAGAAGAAGGAAAGAGAGAGAGAGAGAGAGAGATATAGATATTGCAGAGCTGAACCTAGAGGCTGAACGAAGCATCTGACTCTTTGTAAGGCAAGTCTTCGGTTCCCAGTACCGTGTTTCCAACTTGCTCGGGCCGGCGAGCAGGCCCGCCTCTGCAAACAGATCTTTACATGTGTTGCTGTCCATGAAGCGCCAGATTTGACAACTAGGTCTAGGTACATGCGCGCAAGGAGAACATGCTGAAAATTCTTGTGCTCGGCAGTTGGAAAATAAGTGCTGCTGCTGCGGCGTGCTTGACCTGCAGCCTCTTCGGGAACTGACGTCCAGGCAGTCTCGTGTTCCACGCATCAGCGAGCTTGCGGCGGAAATCTTTCCTCCGCATTTTGATCATGCAGGCCGCTGGCATCCCCAATCCCGTGCACTTTGATGAGTGGGAACTTATACACGCCTTATTATATACGGTTCATATAATTCCCCATGGCCCCATACACCCCTTACATAGCCTTGTTATCAAGCATGCAGCGCTTTGGCAGATGGTCGCCAGACCAGCCAGAGCAGCACCGCGCCGGAGTTGCGTGACAGCAAGTGAGCTATAGTCCAAAGTGTAAACTCCCTTATATAGGGAATTACTATAGTGGCTATTAAGGGGGACAGTAGGAGTTTAGATTATTCAAAATGCAGAATTGGGTTTTGGTATCTCTGGAGTCTGATAGCTGCAGTTCTGATTACCCCGCAAGCAGACTGAATACTAAACAAGCTAGCCTCCTGGGAGGAAATATAGTACAATACTTATATACCCACCACATTAATTACCCTATGTTAGCGTTTTAGGACTTTGCCGAGGCCGAATCCATCCTCCAATGAGATCGGAGATAAAGTCCGGAGCAGCTGGTCAAAAGGAGAGTTTTCATGCTCGTGCCTTGATGCTGTCTAGCAAAAAGAACCAAACGGCCAGGCCAGTAGCCATTTGCTACCATTCCCTGACCATGAAGATGCACGGGCTTGATGTGAACTCATCAGCTAAGGAAATTCAGGCAGGAAGAAGACTCCGCAACTTGGTAACACTCAGACTCGGCCACATGTTTCAGCACAAGAGCCTGCCACTGGCAGGTGCCTTGAAATCGACATCAAATGCCTCCACAGCTATACGTCTGTTGATGGAATAATCTCTCCACGCAAGCCGGAGGAACCACAACTTTGAGCCACCCAAGGCATGCTGGGACATTGAGTCTGGAGGATGTTCCTTCTGAGACGAACTCCGAAGCGGCCTCACCCGTGGGCCGAGAGGAGGACTTGGATCGCTTCGCTTGCTGAGGGCCCTAGCCCTCTTTCCATTTTCTTTCCATTATCCCTAGTATATTATATGATAGATATTAATTAGTAGTATATACCAATATATACCTTATAATCCCCCATATAATCCATTATTATAGTAGTTTCCATTTTCTTTTCCATTATCCCAGAAAGAAGCTATATGATAGATATTACCCTATATTACCTCAATATTGCAAAAATAGTTCCGTCGATCAAGCATGCATCACTTGATTTCTTGAAGGTTTTGGAATGCCTTAGAGACAAGAAGACGTCTTGGAATTGACTTCAGAATTTCGCTGCACCCTGAGTGACCGTTACGGTGAGAACAGCAGCAGTAAGGCTAGCGGCCCGTAGCCGCGGATACGGACATTTGATTGACATTTGCAGGTGCTAGTAGTGTGGACAGAAGTTGCCGATTTCAACGGATTGCCAAGCTGCAGCGCTGGGTAGGTACATGGCTCGTTGAGGTGCAATTTTCTTTGCAAGCGTCCCCACGCCTGTCCCTTTCATGTTTGCTGCTGCTCGCACGATGGGTGAAGACTACGTAGTCATTGCAGGACGATGCAGTGGCGCGCAAGCGGATGCAAGGCCATAAGAATGAGTCTGAAACAAATTTTCCGCTCTAAAGAAGGTCTTGGGGGGTAGATGGCGAATGCCTGCGCGGTGGGTTAGCAGAAGCGAGACGACCAAGAAACCAATCAAGATCAACGAGTTACCCTAGAGGGAGTTGGTAGATATCATGGTGCGAAAGCACGGATACAGCTCCCTATCAGTAGCATTGGGGCCTCATCCTGTCTAACAGCTTGAGAGAGTCCCGCCCATGAATTCTTGCCCTGTTTTTGCCAGCGGCCATTTGTTTGAGCAGGCTCCATCCGCTCGTCCAAATGCTCGCAAAAAACCGAGGCACGCCAAGAACATTTGGCTGGCTAGACAAAGGTACGGTAGTTTGCCAAAACAAGGGGACCCCATTCTAGACCCTAAAATAATTAGTGTAATCCATACTAAGAATGCCCCTAATTTTGGGAAACCCTGAGCCCTGTATAACCCCTTCATCCCCTTCAAAGGTGCTCCTAATTTTGGGAAAGCTCCAGGTATCAGCTGTAGACTTGACAGAGCATGCCCAGACTTTCCGGTTCTTGGTTCTTAGTTGAGGGTTTAGGATTTGTAGGGAATAAGGGAATATTGTCCCTGTATAGCCCCTATATAATAATATATTCCGTTATTCCCCATTATAAACCCAATATATACCCTATTAGAACATAGTACTTTCCATTTTCTCTTCATAACCCTAACATCTTCCCTTATTTCCTATATAATCCCAATATATTCCCTTATTCCCTACGAAGAACCAGTAAGTTTCCTAGCCCGGAACTTGCTAACGTAGGCTCTGGAATCTGTCAGCGCATCCGAGAGTAGTGCCGCTCTCAGTACCGCTCTGCTGTGCCACAGAGGCTGCGACATGTCGAAGCTGTGTTTGTTTCCTTTGGCTGTTGCAAGTCGTTGGCTTGCCTGCTTGGGGTTTGCATACCAGGATCCAAGTTTTAGCGAGACCCAAATCCCTGAATCGACTGAGAACGCTCCCTGGACATCGACGTCAAGGTCGTGGCAGATGCGGAAGAACTAGCGGATCCGAGCCACAGTGCAATTAGCTTCCCCCAAGATGGACAGTGTTAGCAAAATTCAGGTGTTGCTTGTTCTTGAAGACTCTATAGGACAGATGTATAGAAGTATAGAATTTCGCTGTGCGTATGAGGGGGCCGCACTTTTGGAAACCAAGTAGGAGAAATTGCCTGTCACACTGATCCTGAAACCTGTAAGGAGGGGTGAGTCAAACCCATCATTCGACCCGCCCTCAGTTGTGCCAATGAAGAGCCAAGAGCTGCATGAAGCATGCCGCGCAGAGATTCTGAGCTGGTCCGGATCATTTCGGATGCTTTTCATGCAGCGATTTGCGCAGTGAGGCTGGCAAATCCAAAACCAAATCGCTCGCAGGCGGCAGGCGGGACATTTGGGAAGCCTGACTTGGATGCATGTGGCTTGTGCCTTCTCTCTCCGTGGTCGTTTGCCGTGTCTTCTGCTGAGAACTTCGGAAGTTACACCTGGTGGGTATGATTGAATCCCCTCCTGGTGGTGGACCAAGCGGGGTCAAACCTCCCAAACTCACCTCTTGGACAATGCGTTCATGGAAGCTCCTGGGGTCCGGCAATGCGCCGGTGCGAAGCAGAGCCACGAATGAAACACCCGAAGTGCGCTAGCATCCGCTGCTCCAGCCCTATGAAGAATTTTTCTCCCCGGCCTGTGTTCAGCAGCACCTTCGCAATGCAAACAGCATTTGAAGGTAATCTAAACGATTATATTCCCCCTGTGCCCACACCAAAGAATCCCTGATACCTGAGCCCTTACGCTGCCCTTGAGGGTAGGCGGTTTTGTGCTAAGGCCTTACCGGATTTGGGGAATATGATCGGGCTTGTGTTGAGATCCACTAGACCCATTCCGCGCATTTGCCCGGGCATGCCAGTGGCAGATCTTCATCACTTTACGCGTACCTTGTAGCAGCCTATGCGAACAATATGCTGACGTGTGCCTTCTTATGGTAGTAGATGAGCATGGGTCCATTTGTGTTGAGTTTCGCTCCTTCACTCAGGCTCCCAAAGCTTTCTAGGCAGCATGACAAGCAAGCAGCCAGGATGGCAGCGCTTCATCCTCGAACGCGACTTGGTCGCCTGGTCCAGAGCCAGGCAAGAAAGCTAAGTACCCGTTGCAATGTTGACAATGTTTCTCCCCAATGCAGCACGTGCGATATGGTATTCATGACAGGAAAGGAATGTCCGGGGGGAGGTGGTGGAAGTATGCGTGCTAACAGTCAAGGCAATGAACCATCTTGTCTTGTCTTGGCAACTGTCAGCTGCAGCTGCTTCTTAAAATCTAGCAACCCAGCAGCCTCGCGTGTAGTAGCGCTGCATGTGCATGTGCACTGGAAAGAAGCTGTCTGCACGTGAGCGCACATTCCAGGAGTTGCCTGACACAGCGAACAATTTGTCGCAAGCAGTCATGCTAATGATTTAATGCACGGAGCAACTCCGATTCACACCAGCTGATAGCGGCGGCAACCTCGCTTTTGCGTCCCCGCCAGTCGAGAAAGAGTGCTGTCCAAGTTTCTTGTCCGGGTTTCAAGTAGCATGCCGATTGCTCATTTCAATGCACGCCAGCAGCCAGCAGCCCGTGCCCTGTACAGTTCTTTGACATCTTCTACAGCCTGTGCATCGTTGTCAACTGCTTTACGCAGCTTGCCTGAGCAGTTGTTCCCTTTCCCAGTCTTGCGCTCATGTTGCCCCGCGAATTCCGTTGAAGCTGAACGGGTAGGCAGAGGGAGCTGCAATGATTGCTTGTGCCAGTCCAGTACCCTCTTTTGTTTCTACGACCCACAGCCAATGGCTGACAAAAATCAGGCGTTGCTTGCCTTCAGGGTAGTTCTCGCTCGAACCCTGAGGATGGGACTTCAGGCTGACATGTTGGTCAATGCTTGGCGCTCAGATCCCTGGCATGCAGCCGCCAGCTGAGAAGAGTCGCCCTTGCCAGGACGAATACTACTCTGAAGGTGTGGTTTGGATTGTCAGGGTGATCGAGCATCTTCTTGTCGCATCTTGGTCCCATGGTTGTCTCTGTATCTGTTCATGTGGTTGAAGCTTGCTTTGCGATGAGCTGGCTGGTATGAGCACCGGAGGCACTCTTCACGTTCGAGATTTTCGCGGTGGTCCGAGTGTACGGGCGCTGGTATTTCTCGCTGACTAGACTAGAAGGTTTCTTGATTGCATGGCAAAGCGAGGAAAGTGGTTGCCTGCGCATGCTGCTACAGCAATGGCTTCGTTTGCTAACATGCTAAGGCTGGCTGAATCTGGGAGACGTGCCGCGCCTGCATTAGGGACAGCATTTGGGCATGTGCTTCCACAAGCGCGTGTTCTCAGAGCGAGATTGAGTGTGCTTTGAGGCGATCATCGTCGTTTTTTCCGGTGTAATCTTTGGCTGGATTCTTCCCCTGATGTTCCTCATCATAGGAGAAGATCAATTCACTGCAGGAGATGCGCATGGGCACATAGAAGGGACTTGACTGTTCATGTGCTCAAAGGGTTGCCCAACGCTCATGCGTTTGCCAGGATTTATGCGGATGCTCTCCGTTTTCCGGGCATTGCGATTGCTGAGAATAGTTCGTGTCATTCAACAGATGCCAATGTTCAGAGATACTTGGTGCAGAAAAATGCAGCTGTTTCAGCATGTGACAAGCCTTCTCCAGATGTAGAGCAGCCCCAGCATCGCCCAATGACTACCCCGCGGCACCCTGATGTTGCAAGGAAGTGTGGCTGTTGTTGAGAGGGTTGACGAGCTCTTTCCGCACTTTGATAGTGACGGTGGCTTTCATCTTTGCCGGCGTCTCAGTTCACCACATGCCGCAATGGCCAGGAATGAAGGTACCATAGACGAGTGTTTGAATCGCAATTTTGTTTGAGGGGTATAGGGTTTAGGGTGTCTAGCAGTAGTGGTTGACAGATTTGAAGCTTGCAAAGCCGGGGCTCAGCAACTAAGGTGCTAACATACATTTTCGCCATTCTTGGCTGCTGGCTGATCAGCAATGAGATGAAGTCCTTAAGAGATGGCATGACCGAACAGGCCTGCCATTGGTATCAGGCTGTTTCGGAAAGTAATTGGTTTGGTTAGGGCCGGCTTAAACAAACCTGACCGTTTGAAGTTCAGGTTAGGTTCCTTCTCGGTTTCGCTTCGGTTCGGTGCGCCTTCATGTTGCTTTATCTGTTTTGTGGCCATCGGCAAGGCCCGTACTGGCAATAAAATGCCCGAAATGGCAAAAAAAAGGGCAGGTAAGCCACCCCCATGTTCAGCTTCTCAGGCCCCTGCCAGCTCCATCTACCATTTTCAGCACGTTTTGAGCTCCGAAACGGCCAAACTTCCCAGGCAGCCCACCTGCAATTTTTCACACGCTTTGTGGTCCGAAACGGGCAAAATGGTAGAACACAAATTCAAAATGCCTCCGACAACCACATTTTCGGCGTCTGCCAGGCTCATCTACCATTTTTTGCGCGTTGTGTGCGCCGAAAGGAGCAAGAAGCGGTAGAGTAGATACGCCCCCAAAACGCCTCCAAAGCCTGTTTTTGGTTGCTGCCAGACCCACCTACCTTTTTTTCGCGTATTTTGCGCGTTTTGCGCAACAAACGCTAGATACTCCCCCAAAACGACGTTTCTCGACCCCTGCCAATTCCGCTTTGCAGGTTTTTTGGGCTCACGGGTCAAGCCGGGTCTCCCAGACCCATCAGTACCGGTCTGAAGGGGTTCGTGCCTGTAGTTTTAGCATATCGCAGTCGATATGCAAACTGTTGGCTCCCAATACCCCGCACGGGCCAAAAAGCATGCTTTTGGTTCCCCCGAGGCGGGTTGCAGGATGTTGGGTTTTGTTCTTTCTTTTTCCGGTTTGGTCATTTACAGTCCTGGGGCGGTCGGGTTCCGAGACAGTTCGGTTCACGGATGGTTTCTGTTCATCGTCCGTCAACAGATTTGTTGGAAATTCACCTGGGTTTGCATAAGGGCGATCCCCAATTTTTGGACCCCCCCCGAATAATTCCACTATAACAGGGGAGTCAGGGGTTCCTTCTCATGGGGTAAATAGAGTTCTGTTTCGAATTAATGCTTTTGGTAGCTTGTCTAGTCCTGCCGCCTTGGGAAGGAGGCCGAAGACCTTGAGCCCACATACGAGATGGTGAAAGGGATCGGTCCGTTGATGCAGCGGCCTGGTGGATGAATCATCGGTGGGTTGCTGTTGAGGAGCTTAAATTAGGTCACCATATGGGCATATGGTAAATCATAGGGCTTCCTCATTAGAGTAACTTAATTTCAGTTGCTTAACAGCAACGCAGAAAAACGATGTGCACCTTGTAAAGGTGCAAGGCCTGTGTCTCTAGAACATGGACTGTACCTGTAGTACTCTTCACATAAGCTATAGTCTAGACTCCTTGAAGGGGTTTTATAGCGGATTATATAGGGGAGTATTATGGGGATTATTGAGGGGAAACTAGGAGTTCAGGCTATAACCCCTATAATCCCCTATATAATCACAGCTTCCATTTTATTTTGCATGTTCTTGTCCATTTGATCCTCCATTACTTGGGGGATAGTAGCCCTAAACCCTAAACACTAAACCCCTAAACCCAAAACCCGTAAACTCGTAAACCCTAAACCCCTAAATCCTAAACCCCTAAACCCCTAAAACCCTAAATGGCAAAGACTGTTGTTGAGCAAGGCTGCTCATCCAGTTCCTGACGCTTGACTCCTGGAACTCGAAAATGGAGCAAATCATGCAGTAGCTTGGCGTTATATTAAGGGTCGAGGGTTTAGGGTTATATAGGGATAATGGAAAATAAAATGGAAACTACTATAATGGCTTATATGGTTTTATATAGGCATAGTAGAAAATAAAATGGAAACTACTATAATGGGTTATATAAGTTTTATATTGGGATAATGGATGGAAACGACTATCATGCGTTATATAGGGTTTATTTTGGGATAATGGAGAATAAAGTGGAAACGACTATATTATATAGGGTTATATAGGGGCTATATTGGTGTCATATTACATTACTTGCCTTTGGTTAGCTAGGAATGAAGGAATGGATCCGGGGTTTTATCCCCAATATTTTATCCCCAATATTATGTCCAATAATGGAAAATCACATGGAAAAGCAAATGGAAATGAGATGGAGTGGGGGGGGGGGTACATAGAGGTTACCTCTGGTTAGCTAGGAATGAAGGAATGGATCATTATAGTAGTCCCTATATAACCCCATGATTTACAGTTTCCATTTTCTTTTCCATTCCCTCATTCCTGGCTAACCAAAGGTAAGAACATCGACCTTCGGCAAGATGTGCACTATTTACTCTTTTTGAGAATCCTCTTGCACTTCTTGTGTGGCACGCTTCCTTCACCAGGTTCACACCCTGGTGTCTGGCTTACTTCTACATGTATATCGCGCGGGACTGAGGCAGTTTTCTGACCTTTCAAGAGTCCAGCAGTGTCTAGCTTCATGGTTGTACCTCCCGCTCGTCAAAATGAGCGGCGAGCACGCTTGCAATCACCGCTGCCCTCTTCTGCGTTGCTCTCGCATGCGTTCGCAAGTGCCTTATATGCAATGCGTGACACTCGCAGCCAATCCCTAGGCTGTGGCAGTTTTCGTGCTAATGAACCTCGTGACGGCCATCATTGCCGGGTGCCGAGATGGTTTCACAAGACTTGAGGGCGAATCCCTTGTTTAGATTCTCACACATTGGCATACTGAGGCATACTGACGGAGCTGCTTCCTGTGCAAAGCCGCAGCATGATACTGTTGGTGTGTGAGGTTGAAAACGCTATGTCCGCCTCCAGAATGGACGAGAACCAGCGTTTGAAACAGAGCCATGGTTGCAGTATCACCAGCTATATCAGTTCATCTGCAGCGACCTACTTATTCCACCTTTGCGTGCAGACAAGCAGACAAGTGTGTCGGCCCAGGCTTTGTTCAGGTTTTGAGGTTATGTTGCATAATAATATACCATAATATACCATAATATACCATAATATACTATAATATACTATAATATACCATAACATAGTACAGTAGTTCAGGAGGCGAGCAGGAGCAGGGCGGGGCGCGTGGCCGGGGGTCGGGCGGGCGGGCTGGCAGAGGCAAGGGGGGGGGGGGCTGGGGGCGGGGGGGCCTGGCGGAGGCGGGGTGGTGGTGCAGCAGATGTTGGAATTTGGCTGCTGTGCTGACCGTGATTCTGATGATGACAATGTTTTAGATTGAGCCGCGGCATCAAGCTAAACCATTGATGAGCATCAACAAGGACTAGGATGGGTAAGAAGAATTGCCTCCATCGCCAGTGTGTGCGCTCCTTGCCAAGGATGGAGGAATTGAAGCGGAAAGAGCTAAAAGAGCTTGAGTGCCCCGGCTTGAAGCTTTTTGCAGTCAGGCCGGGTACAGGATTCTTTCTTTTGCTTCACTGACATCCAAGCCGCGTAGCTGTCATAGCAGAAAATGCCTTGGTGCCCAGAATTCGGCTGTGATACTTTTCATGCGAGGGTTCAAGAAAGAGGCCACCGCCTGTCCGAAAGAAATTGTGTCAGCCTTTGATAGGAAATACGGAAGATCAACCGTGGCAGGCATTGGGTAAAATAGAAACCCAATATTATAACCCCTATATACTCCCTATATAATCCCTACATACTCCCTATCTAGTCCCCATATAACCCTTACAACCCCAATATAACCCTAATTCTAAGCCCTATATAACCCTTTCCAAGTCATGGCGTCATCCTGCTAAGGCAGCTCTTCTACTTGATGGATGCAGATGGGGATGGCACGTTAGATTGGGAGGAGCTCCAGGGCCGCGCGAAGAATAAGCCTGTTGCTGACACCCTAAACCCTGAACCCCAAACCCATAAATTGGAGTTATATAGGGGTTTTATTGGGATAATGGAAAAGAAAATGGAAACTACTATAATGGGACTACTATAGGGTTCAGGGTTTAGGGCTTTGGGGTTTATTCTTTTTAGCTGAGCAAATGGCAACCACCTCACTCCAAAGGATGGTTGATCTGGGGAGGGGGGTTTTCAAGATTATGGCTTTGTTTTGGGCACCCTCCATAGAAGAGGCCGTATCATAACGGAGACCTATGAAGGGGCCATGATTTTGATAGCCTACCAGTACAGGCCATATCCAAAAAATCTGCTACTGTAAATTTGAGGTTGTGTTTTTTTTGCAAATGCCCACTTTCTGTTCCTCCCTTCCATGCGTTTATAGCTGCTGCGCCTGTATGGCCTTACTGGCTGCCGCAATGAGTTGTGCTACTCGCCCTGAGTGCCTTTTTACACGTAGCACTCCTGTCCGACCAGTAACTGTACTTGGCAATTTAGACGCGACTGCGCTGTGAATGTCGGAATATGCATTCCAGATCGCTTCTTGTGAGCACTGGTAGAATCATAGCTGTAGTCAGGGTGATAGATCGAAATGTTGATGTCCCTTGTACTTTCTCTTAATGGAAATCACGCCAACCACCCCCGTGCCAACGTCAGCAAGAATGTGCGGGAGGACTTCATAGCGGCAGTGTTGATAGCTACATTGGGAGTGAAAAGTCGGGACGCAGTGTTCGCCATTTTAACAGACTAGAAGCCCCAAGATTGGCAGTGTTTCCTTTTCCCGCTTGCCATCTGTTATGTTGGTAGTTTCGCAAAACAAGGGGACCCCAATACAGACCCCAATATACGATAATCCTTTCTATGGGAACCCCCAAAAGGGCAGCCCGATTTTTAGGAAACTCCCAAATGTCGCCGGACTGTGGCCGCGGATGGATGCGGAAGGTTCGCGGAAGAGGATGACTTCGCGGACGGGTAGTGGAAGTGGGTTAATAATGGGGATAATCAGGGTTATAATGGGGTATAGGGGTTATGTAGGTTTGAATATCGTATATATTGGGGTTATGGGCATCAGTCCATAAGATCAGATGGCTCAGCAGACTATGAACATGATGGGTTGTGGAGATGATACTTTCTCCACAAAGCAGGTCTTTCATGAGAGAAGTACCTCAGGGTGCGGAGCTGTGGCAAGGAAAGGAGCATTAACAGCAAGACACATGGTGTAGGTTGGTCTTCGAAGCTTGGGACGGCAGTTTTGTGGAAGATTTGCGGCAGGCGGAGTGGAATTTTCAAGCCAATCGGCCACGAGAAGCGTTGCAAGTGCAACAGGCTGCAAGCAGAAAACGCCAGCAACTCGTGTAGTTCGTTGCCGAGGAAGACGACGGACGTTCTGATTCCCTCACATCGAGCAGAGTCGAGCACCAGGTCATTCTCATCCTAGGAAAAGACACTTCGCGGAAGCGAAAAGCTTCGCGAAATGTTTGCGGAAGCAGCAATTTTCAAGATGTCGAAACATGATGACGCTCTGGTCTTCGAAATGACGTGGAAAAGTCTGCGAAGCGTTTCGCGGAAGGACGGTTTGCGTAATACGAATTCGTGAAGTCGAATAGGCTAAAAGACGAACTAAATGATGCCTTCTTTGATAATGTAAGAGATACTGAGTGCCCCTCATATTGTGTGAAGTTGTGATGCTGGCTGCATAAGGTTCGAAAATGCCTTCCATGATGAAGAGATGAGCCGGCCGCTGGACCCGACATCAGCTTCTTCATGTTGCTAATTGATTTGATACTTCTTTGGGCAGTTGCAGCTCTATGAGAAGTACTACAGCAATGAAGAACCAGGGTTCAGACGCTGAGGAAATGGCGGCTGTTGGACTTCCAGCCCGAAGAGTGCAAGGACAAGCTATACCACTGGGGGGGGGGGGTCGTGGTACGACTTCTTTCCGTCAGTTGGTTAATGTGGATTTTGTTCGCCCACTTATCCCAAAACGCCTACCTTCTGGCCGCCTAGTGTTCCAAGTATGTCTGGCACATGCTGCGCATTGAAGAAGGCAATGCTGAAATGACAGACTTGTCGAGCCAATGTCTTGTGCACAGCTGGGGCCAACAACGACGCAACTTTGCAAAAGGAACTTTTCGATCTCCTGGATGATGGTGATGGGGGCATCGAGACGAAAGAATTCTTTAATGGGCTCGCGCGCATGAAAGGAGGCCGAGGGAAAACTGACGCTTTGTGTCCTGCTGGAGGGCAGGGATAGCTGCATGTACACACCACACCCTGTCTCAAAGGCGCTCAGTCGAGAGATCTGATGCGTGTGGCGCAGCGAGTTGCTGCTTGGCCAGGGTGGGTGAGCTTCCTTAGTCACGGAAATCTTAGGGTTTAGGGGGCAGAGCTTCATGGTAATTGTGGGTGTGGTTGTCTTTTTTTGCTGGTCGTGCGAACTAGCCCGCGGGAGCTTTGCAGTAGTTGTTGTTTTGCCAACCTCGTGGCCTAGCTCGCAACCCCTGAAAACGGCTTTAAGCCCTGCTAGCTCAAGATTTATTTGCACGGAGGCTCGCCTCCCCGAGGCCAGGTGCCTTAACCCTGAACCCGAAACCGTAAAGCTTGGATAGTAGTTTCCATTTTCTTCTCCATTATCCCAATATAACCCCAATATAAACCCTACATAACCCTAATAAAACCCCCGTATACACCGCCAAGGACAGGTACCCCAAACAATAAAATATCCCAAACCCTACACCCTAAATCCTAGACCTGGTCAACCCTAAACCCCTAAACCCTGAACCCTAAACCCTAAACTCCAAGGACAGGCTGGGCAAAGAGTTGTCCAGCCTCTCCTCCATGATGCAGCTATCTGGCTGGGACAATGCGTCCTTCGCATCTGCTGATGACAGAGGCGCTGCCATGCACAGCTGGTGAGATCATGTGAGCGGTTAAGGTTTAAGGTTTAGGGTTTCAATTTAGGGTTTAGGACTCAAGGTGTAGGATTCGGGGTTTAGGGTTTAGGGTTTAGGAATTAGGGTTTGGGATATAGGGTTTAGAGAAATCCTGATGCTGCACACCTTGTCGATGGCATGCCCTTTTGATGCAATTCAAGCAAGAAGAGGCACGCCAAAAGGAAACAAAGGTCGTATCTTGATTGCAGATATGTGCCACACATGACTGCGCAGCTAGCATGGATGTGAACCGAAGCCAACATCCGAGGACAAAGAAGCGCATCAGACACTTGAATGCATTGGCTTGCCAGGGTCGCTCAATCACAAAGCGCATATGAGCTATTGTAAACAGCTTAACAAAGAACAATCAAGGGTGGAGATAAGGCACTGTGCTGTTTAGGCTCCCCTAGCAGCATGTGTCAAAAATGCTGGCTGTAGCTCCTACTGGCATGGTTCGCCTTGCTTTGTCATGCGTGGGTGTGCTTGAAAAAGAAAGGAAAGGGAATTAAGGACGTGCACCGCAGGCGACGTCAAAGCCGTGTAGAAAGAGCGCAGTTTGTCTAGTTGTTTTTGAAGAGCCAATGCCGTCATGTTGCGATGGCATCCTGGCTTCTAAAGTGTTCATGTACCAGCCGAGTGTGCAAATATGGCATCCAAAGCCTACTAGAGGAAGCCATTTGCATTCCCAAGCATCATGATTGTGAGAAAGCATGCATCGGACTGAAACCTGACATATCTGTCGGAACGCTTCGTCGTGATGGTACCCGGCCTCTTCCGATCCAAGTAGGGCCACCATTTCATGTCCCTGAAACCCCCATATGTACCCTATCATAACATAGTGGTTTCCATTTTCTTTTCCATTATCCCTATATAACCTCAAAATACTATAATAGTAGCGTCAATTTTCTTTTCCATTGTTCCCCATATAACCCCAATAATATACCCCATATTGTATGCTTCCCCAAGACGCATCTTCTGGAAACCTAAATCCTAAACTCCAAGCAGTAGTGCCATTTTCTTTTCCGTTATCCCAATGATACCCCAATATACTACTTGTATAATATAATCCCTATAGCATCCCTAAACCTTAAACCTTTAACCCTAAACCCTCTGCTGTATGGCCATGCAAGTGGCAAAACCCTAAACCCTAAACCCCAAGCCCATTCTGGTAGTGCCGCCAGGATGCTGATAAGCCGCCGGACCTGAAAGCCTTGAAAAAGCCGCGGAAGTCGGTGAAGTCTTCACCAAAGGTGTCTCTGGAGGAGGCCTGCTGAGTAGGCCCCTGGGATATTGAATATTTTCCCTAATGGCTCTAACAGGGGACCATATATACTAATATTTTTCACAAAGGATTGCCTGCAACATGAGCTATGGACTTCTCAAAGGGGGTTATATAGGGGATCACATAGGGGACTACTATAAGGGTTATTAAGGGGGATACTAGGAGTTTAGACTATGGCTCACATGGTAGTTTCCTAAAATAGGGGGACCCCAAGCAAGGTTAAGGGCTCAGTGTTTACGGTCTCTGCAGGAGGCCATGTTGGGGTAATATGGAGATAATAGAAAATAACATGGAAATTACTACAGTATATTGGGGGTAACATGGGGATAATGCAAAAGAAAATGGAAACCTTAGGGTCTGGGTTTTAGGGTCTTTACTTGTTTGCGTGCTACTGTGACCGATTTCTGAGGCGCGTCCACCACGCCTTCCTGTCGTGGTCACGATACACAGCCCGGAGCAAATGTCCAACAACTGAAAAAACACTTGAGCCTCTAGGCTCCGAACCTGAAACATTCTGATGCCTCTACCCCGGTCCAAGACAGATCGCTGAGTCGCCGCTGGGTCCGTCTCGCTGGAGAACTGTCAGCGTCATATGGAAGGATTCCCGCACTAAGTAGGGTTCGCTATTCCTCCAATTCACGCAGTATTTGTGGGGACCGGATTAATCCCAGATGCCAACTGCTGTAGTGGGAGAATAGCAGGTGATTTGTTTGCAAACTCTGAAGCAGCAAGCGCCCTCAAAGCAGGGATTTTGCAAGCGTTACAAGGTCGAACAACCAAACAGGCAGGAACTCTGAAGGTTTTGCCTTCCCAGCAGGTTTGCGAAGACGTTGGTGTTTGGTCATTTCGGAAGAAGTGGCTGTGTTTCAAGACGGGCTCCCATAGACGACGCCACTAACAACATTCTAGGCAAGTTATGGTCAGGTGATGTCCTATAGTTTCTTCTTAGTACCATGGTGCCATGGGTATCACTAGTGTTTCGTAACATGCCTGCCAGGGTTATTTACTTCTCACTTGCGGCCCTTGCTGGGGGCAGACAAGCTGCTTCTGCTTCATCTGTCTTATCTCCAGAGCACCAGCCTTCCTCAGCAACAAGCCTTGCACATAAGGCTGGTGCTGCAAGTGAGTAGTGTTTTATTTGGGGAATTTTGGGGATACTATAGTCCCCGATGTAGAGTATGATTATATCCTCCTGTCGGGTGTAATGTTTTCTATAGGGAATCTCATCTTACTTGGTTCAACCACCAACAACAATGCTACTCGAGTACAAAGCCTTGTCTTTCCCTATCGGCTTGCAGAGCAGGACTGTCACAAACTGTTGCATTCAGAACATGATAGTTGGAAAGAAAGGGGCGCCCCGAAAGCACTTCTCGGAAACATTAGGATCTCCCACATACAGATGCCAAGCAGGGAGCCTTTTGATCTTCGGAAATTCCTCCACTCCATGTCTGGTGCATGATTTTTTTTTGCGGCTACCTTTGCAGGCAAAGAGAGAACTCCAAGCAAAGAGCAAGGCAGCCAAAGAGGCCCAGGTGGGACCCTGACGGCCTTCACAGGGGTTATCCTGTAATTCACAAAGATTTATACCTATACATCTTCATAGATATATGCAATTATATATGTATATATGTTGTATGGTATGATATATCTACTACGCATCATATGTTTATGTTGCACATCTATGTTATTACTGCATGGGATTCATGCTGGGCTCCAGGGCTTCTCCCCAAGGCTGCTGCAGACTTGTGCTATGGTGGCTTACTGGTGCTTAAGGGAGAGTGGAGGAGTGGATCCCTATAATAAAGTTTAGAGTTTAGTGAGTTTAGGGTTTAGGGAGTGGATCCCTATAATAACCCCCATGTAATCTCCAGAATATATACTTATAATGGTACCTATATGCACTCTCCCACTCCCTCAAGCAGCAATAGGTTTTTTTTGTGCGGACCTCGCGTCTCTGGCATTGAGCAGGCAAGCCCTATCTCCTAAACTGGCCTTTGGTTAGCTGGGAATGAAGGAATGGAAAGGATAATGCAAACCATTAGAATGAGTTTTATAGGGATTACTATTACTACAAGGATCCATTCCTTCATTCCTAGCTAACCAAAGGTAACCTCCACATACCCCCAGTCTCCATTTCATTTTCCACTTGCTTTTCCATAAGGTTTTCCATTATTGGGGGTAATATTGGGGATAAAACCCCGGATCCATTCCTTCATTCCTAGCTAACCCAGCGTAAGTAAACAGCCCGAGTGGACACCTACGCTCTACGCTTGCTGGATTGATAGCCTGGTTCGGCAACTGCGTGAGGCCCTAGAATGTGGCTGCAAGCCTATGTTGGTGGATTTATTCTTGTGTTAGGGTTCTTTGTGTTCAAAACCGAAGTTTGAGGACAGCTACTTTTAGTTGCCTGACCCAGCGAATTGTGACCTTGCTGTGCTGCACGGCCATGCAATTGGCAAAGCAGCCCCAGCGCAATGCGCAAGCTGAAACATGCCAAACGAAATCCTAAGCCCTAAACCTTCAACCCTACCCAAAGCCACTCCCAAGCAAAGCATGAGAGGAATGGAGCTATGGTGGCTCAGAGGCTTCCTCTGGCGTGTCCTGGATGTGAGTGGAGCTCGAAGTTGAAATACGGGGTTGCTGTCAAGGAACTTAATTCAAGTTACTACATTATCCCCCATAATGGAGAATCACATGGAAAAGACAATGGAACATGAAATGGAAACTGGGGTAAGAGAGGGGGTTAAGGAACAAAATTCAAGTCACTACATTGGGGAAACCTTGTTAGTTACTGTATATACCCATTATGGTAACCCTAAAACCCAATATGCCCGGTATATACCCATTATGGTAACTTAATTTGACTTCCATAACAGCAACCCAGTCTAGTGGCCTCCCCGCGGCGCACCAAAACCGCCACTGCATGTGGAGGGCCAGTGCAACTCCCCTGGAGCTATTACAGCAGTATCATCCTTATTGCTAGTATTATAGCTGGTTCTCGAATTATTACTAGCTAATTTTATGAGCATTGCCACTGCTATTACTATTGTTCCTATTACTATCGCCATTGCTATTACCCATTATTACTATTACTATTACTATTACGATTAC